ATAACATGTGTTTCACAATGTACTTGTGTTTCACAATGTACTTGTGTTTCACAATGTATTTTTCTTAAGATATTTGAGCTCGGTCTCTCGGAACACGTGAAACAATACTTCCACCTGAAAAAACTGATATTTCAAAGGTAGTCAACACATACTTGGATTTTTGAAAGGGTTCTAGGTAATAGTATTACTGGTTTCCAAATTATGTGTCACGCCATGTCGCTAGGAATTTCGCCAAACGAAAAATAATTAAGAACATAAAAAAACAAAAACAAAAAAACCAGCAGGGTTGTCAAGGTAATTAGGTTATGGTTTGTCGCTGTCAAAAGTTTGAAAGCAGCTGGTTTAGAGCCTTGTTGATTGTTTACATTTGATAACAGTCATTCTTGTATTAACTCCAGTACATTCTATCACAGAAACTTCCTCAGAGACAAACAAGTTAAGTAGTTATCACATGTTTGTGTAGTTAAATGTGCTGTGATGAGACAAGATTTGTCTTGTGTTTTAAGTGTATGTGCTGCTAAGTGCAATACAGTGTGCATGATTTGAGAAAGAAACGACGTAGTAGTGTATGTGTGAGCAGAAGTGACCTTTGATATTAATGTGTGTTGTGTTGGTGTATCTTTGGCTTGTGGGAATACTGTAACTAATTTTTTCCCCCTTTAAGTGGAGGATGAGGGAGGTTAAAAAATATTCCCACTTAGGACCCCCAGTGGACTTGTACTAGGTATTTGAGAACAACGTGTGTAATGCAGCTTTGTATCTGTCCCTAACGTTAAATCAATAGTGAAGACAGTTAGTCAAGAGCACCCACCGCCTTTTGGGTTACTTTTGTCTGATTGAATAATGGGCGCCATTATTAAAAGTGCGGAATGCGTTTTTTGCAGCAGCGAGTCACGAACCAGGGATTGTAATTTTTCTTATCTGTTAAGCTATTATAGATGTAAATGTTCCCAGGAATTAACTGATTCCGTATCTTTCTCCTCCCATGCGTTAGTATTAATCATGATGTTTTTCTTACAAATTTGATGTAGGCTACTTTATTATAAACAATCGTGCTCCGCCATTACAATTATTCCGTTCATTGGTTGATTTATCTGTCATAACTTCAGTTTCTTGCAACTTCATCAGTTACACGAAACTTCGTTAGAAGATGGGTCACTTGATGTGCCTTTCGATGTCATTGGTCAAATATTAATCTAAAAACTTCTGTTAATGCTAACGACCTCAAACATTGAAATTTAGAACATTTATCGGGGCCATTGTCACAAGTCAGGTTTGGTTTGAATTGTACTTCTTTACAAACTCTCGGATAAGAGAGAGAGACATCATACCTAGGTTGGGAGGGGAAAAAAAAAAATGTTCTAAAAATAAATTCCCAGAACGATTGGGAACAGAATTACAACACCAAATCTATGAACCCCCACCCCCTTCTTATTAAAAATCTAAAATATTACAATTTTGAAATTAACCGTGCGTTTCCGTAAAACAACTGGTACTAAGTGTTTCGAGTACGTACATAACTTCAATATGATTGTAACTTCAAAACCACCATGTAGCCGTTTTTAAGTAACATATGTAATCTGTTTTACATTTAACTCCTGGCTGTAGGTTAAATCAAGATTGTAGGTTAAATCAAAACCACCATGTAGCCGTTTTTAAGTAACATATGTAATCTGTTTTACATTTAACTCCTGGCTGTAGGTTAAATCAAAACCACCATGTAGCCGTTTTTAAGTAACATATGTAATCTGTTTTACATTTAACTCCTGGCTGTAGGTTAAATCAAGATTGCAAAGTATCACGTTTCACAAGACAAACATAAACATAATTTGAGCGCTTGTATTTTGAACTCGGGGTCTTTGAAACATAAACCCCGTAGGGCTGCACTAGCAGATGCACACTGTAAAAACTGGTTTGGATGTCCAAAGAGCCAGATTCAAACTCTGAAACTACTTGTTAAAGGACTCTTATCGTATGTTTTTGAAAGGTTAATGTTCAATCGGGTTTGCTTCCATTTCGAAGTTTAAAACGAGGTTCTTCTGTAGTCCAACGCATGGTAGTGGACGGTATAAAAACAAGTCAGTAATTTAAGGGTTGAAAGAGTTAGTTGATTAAAGGCTCGTTACTCTCAAAACTTACAAATTCTCTCCATAGACTTGGTTTTGTAATTCTGTTCCCAATCGTTCTGGGAATTTATTTTTAGAACATTTTTTTTCCCCTCCCAACCAGGTATGATGTTGGTGGTGACAGATACATAGATTTGGTTTTGTAATTCTGTTCCCAATCGTTCTGGGAATTTATTTTTAGAACATTTTTTTCCCCTCCCAACCAGGTATGATGTTGGTGGTGACAGATACATAGACTTCGAGGACTTGAAGAGGATGATGGAGAAGTTAGGGGCTCCACAGACACATCTTGCTCTCAAGAATATGATCTACGAAGTGGACGAGAATAATGATAATAGAATCGATTTCCGTGAGGTATTGAACTTGGTTGCGTTTATTTTTCCTGTAATTAAAATATTGCCCCCCTCCCTCCATCCCCACGCGCACACAAAGCTATTCTGAACGCCACTCTAACGACTTTTTTGTTGTCGTTGTTGATTTTCAAAATCTCTTCATTACACTTAAGCTTAAGAGTAGTGTTTAGAATATTAGATACTCTAGATAAGTGGTTATTAGAGCGCATAATTCAAAATCTTCTATCATGTTAAAACGGCAGCGTTGTTGTTCATACATGCTGCACGGGGTGATCCGAGTCGTTGTTGTTTTAAGCGACAACCGAAGATTTACCTGATGAAGCTCGTCTTTCCACCAAGTTCGGTAACTGAAACAGCTATGGCTTTAACCAAGTTCGGTAACTGAAACAGCTATGGCTTTAACCAGGGTCGGTAACTGAAACAGCTATGGCTTTAACCTTGCATACGATTAACATTTTTCGTCTTTTTTTAATAAGACTGACCCTCGTACACTGAATGTAGTTTGAACAAGATTATTTTATTTTCATTTTTTAATGTTTGAAAAGAAAAGGGGGGCTGTTTTGGGTGAAGAGAATTTTATAATACCTTCTTTGGCTTATAACGCTAAAATACGAGGTTCGATACCTGCCGTGGGCACAACGTAGATGGCCCACATTGTGGAGCTTTCTTCTTAAGACAAACAATGAAACCAGTGTTGAATCCACAGCCCTTTCCACCGGGGGGGGGGGGTGAAGCTGGGGGAGGGGGAGTGAATTCGACAAAATAGAAAATACTGTACTTCAGTAGAAATATATATTTTCGCGAATGTTGGTTCTCATGTTTCTTAATTTTATTTTACCCTGACAAACCTTAAATCATGATTTACTTGAATATTTTTTAAAAAGTGTCCTAACTTAGATTATTTTTTTTCTTATGGGCGAAAAAATACTTTGGAACTAAGCTCTAACAAGGAACGTGAATAAAACACCAATACGTTCCTTTGATTTTTTTTGTTTTGTATACAAGACGTTAGTTCCTCATTTTTATACAAGAGGGCGTCGGATTAAACTAAATTAATTGGAACGTAGCTACGAGTATTTTAATTTTGTGCGTGCGTTTACGCGTGTACAATGATACGTGATAATTAAAAATATTGTGATTTTTATGAAACACCGTTAAGACTGTAAAACAAAAATGTGAATTTTGTAAGGTTTTCTATTTGTATGCGAGTAGCCTGTGGCATTGACTTTGTCATAAAGTTGTGTGTAGAATATTTTAATACTGTTTAGTTGATGTGCCAAACTGTACCAAAAAAAAACTAATAAAACGAGCTTAAGTAAAGGCTGTTAACATTACGTTGCTTCTTGTCGTCGGTTAATTTCTGCGATTCATTTTTCAGTTCTTGATGATTTTCTGGAAGGCTAGAGCAGGAGAACTGTCGGCGGGCAGCGGGTTACTGGAGCTGGCCCACCTCACAAACATAGACGTCGACAAGGCTGGCGTTGGCGGTGCCAAAACGTTTTTCGAGGCTAAGGTAAACTTATTAATTAAGTGTTTCTTGGAGGGGGGGATTTTTTTGGGGGGAGTGATTTACTTTGTTACCCAGAATTATAAGAAGAATCTTCGTACTCTTGCTGCTAAAGATTATCTTAGAATGTTAAGTAAGCAACTGACATGCCTAATTCTTCAGACCAAGTATATATTCCATTTAAACCCCATAGATACAGTTCATGATATTACATAAACGAAACAAACATTAACATCATAGTGTATTGTCTGGCTAAGTTTCTGTCAATAACGATACAAACATTAACATCATAGTGTACAGTCTGGCTAAGTTTCTGTCAATAACGAAACAAACATTAACATCATAGTGTACAGTCTGGCTAAGTTTCTGTCAATAACGAAACAAACATTAACATCATAGTGTACAGTCTGGCTAAGTTTCTGTCAATAACGAAACAAACATTAACATCATAGTGTATAGTCTGGCTAAGTTTCTGTCAATAATATAACACACTAATTAATTTGTCTCCATCAAATATACGAGAAAATTCGTAGAGTAACTTTGTTATATCCGTAATTAAATTATCACCATGCGTGGGTTATCCTAATTAACCCTATAAAGCTGTGTACGCACGAACATTGGTCATGTGTGATAGCCTGGTGTTGATTATGAGTATAGCTAATTGAATACAGTTTTATGTTCTTACTTATAAAGATTATAATTTCGTCAGTTGGGTACCCTCGCTGTTAACCATATTTTCGGTCATAATCCCAGTGTGTTCAATGCGTTACCTCCTCGAACTTCTGTTTAGATCGGATTTCGAATTTCCAAATAAGCTGTCAAAGCAGACTTGTCTTCCAGTGCCTTCTCTCTAATTTTCTTTTCTAGTATGTAAAACATATCGGATTTCGATAAAACCTCGCGTGTAGTTTTTTTTTTTTTACTTTGGACTTTACGGGTGTTGGAGTCTGTTTCAAATGTTTACCATTTCTTTCATAAAAAAAATAATAAATAATAATAATAGTGTGTAAAAACTTTCACGTCATTGGCCAAACCAGTTTATATCGGGAAGTAAGATTTTACTGAAAGCATCTTACGAGTTCAGAATGAGCTCTTGGAGTATTTGTCCTGTTTAACAGGTGGATACTTAAAAAAGCGAGCTTCTAATGAGTATGTTAAACAGAAATGTGGCAAAACTAGGATTTTGTTTTCGTACTGTAGGCCCTTTTAGCGACGATGTTCACGAGGTGGTAGATGAATACCTTGAGGTCTTTGTAGTTGCATTTATGGATATACAACCGAGTGCAGTAGGTTAATTTCCTGTAAATAACAAACCTGTTTTTGGCCAAATAGAATAATATGGGAGACTTCCATGATTCTCAGTATTTAAAAAAAAAAATAAAATCCGTAAATTTCAGAAATTGAAACATCCTGTATTGCCATAGAACTGAACTTTCGTAGTTACGTATTTTTAAACATCCTGTATTGCCATAGAACTGAACTTTCGTAGTTACGTATTTTTAAACATCCTGTATTGCCATAGAACTGAACTTTCGTAGTTACGTATTTTTAAACATCCTGTATTGCCATAGAACTGAACTTTCGTAGTTACGTATTTTTAAGCAGATAGAACAACAAAAACGTACGAACAAGTTTGAAGAAGAAATTAAATCGGAGCAAGAAGAACGGAGACAACATGAGAAAGAACGGAAACAACGGAAAGCGGAATTCCTCGAAAAAGCCCAGTTCTTTCAGAAAACTGCAGCGTAGCATGCAGATGTGAATATATTGGTTCTCTAGATAATACGAAATTAAAGTGTAGGTAGCGCCATCTATGAATAAAAAAAGCTTAATTTTAAATGTTTCAACATAACATACGCATTGAACTCGTAGGAAATGCTCTTTTTAGAATGTTAATCTATTAATATTCATAAAGGTTTACTAACATTTCAATTAAATATATATAGCAAAAGAACAATTTAGTTTCTTGTTTTTTATCCAGGTTCACGTCTGTTTTTTTGTTTTTTTTACCATAGTTTAGAAAATTCATCCGAAGATTTTAATAAGTTGTTTTTTGCAAGTTTGTTTCATTAAAACTCTGTTTGGGAACTCTGTATAAAATTTCATTTTTAGCTAAGGTAGTACGTGTTTTATTTTTCCTTATGGCTTATATAACGAATCTTAGTTTTACTTTTAAGTCTGTATTCTGTAAACAACTTTAAACTCGTGCGGAATGTAATACAATTTCACAATTAGATCTTTGGAAGATGATCGAAGTAGTTATATTGTAATAAATTCTAATTTTTAATGTGTATGTTTCGTATCAAAGCGTAATTGTTACTTTTTATTTTTACATGAAACATCCGAAACATTTAAAATGACAGGCTTCCAAATAGTATACAATACAAAGAAATTCGAAATAAGTAAAAAACGCGATTTGAATCTGTCACTTCAGTATAGAATGTAGCATCTCTGGACTTATTCTACCACTAGATGTTGCACCTAATAGAGTAAGAGCAGTCCTATATTTATGAATTTCTTTCTCTCGCCAAAACTTAAATTTCGTTGAAGAAAATATGACGTAGAGACTTAATCTATCCTTTGATTGGCTACTCCTGTTGCAGCGGACTAGTTTCGATGAATTCACGGCTCATCAGCGCTGCTTGTAAAAGCGAAGTAAATAAAGTAAGCGTTTTGTTTTTGTATAATCCTTTCCTCGCCACTAATAAGGTAAAATATGTATTTCGGTAACATGTGACGCAGAAGTAGTGAGTCAAAGAATAGATTAGCTCTCTGCACCATCTTCACAACGTTTGATGAAGAAAAGAAATAAACAACTAAATGACTAACCATTTATTCCGTTGAATAATAATGAATAATTCATTTTGACGGTATGCCACATTATCTAAACACCTAAAGTATTCCAGATTACTAGTTATGAATAATGAATTATGCATCAACACCAAATAAATTACTAGTCGTGCTAACATTAAGACCACCCGAACAAGTCTGAAGATTGTATGGTATATTGTTACCATGACACTTGCTTCTCTCTTTTCTTTCTTTTTTTTCCATCAATATGTAGATGTTGAAATATAATCGTAATTTAAACTAAGGAAGCCCTAGTAAAGTCTACGATGATTAATTTGTATTGTGGCAAAGTTTAGTTGAACCGTGATAATACAAAACTGACTCGTATGTTGCCATAGCGACCACAGGTTTGTTTAAAAATTACCCAGAGGGGAGGAGTAGAAAATGAAAAACCTTTCGTTCGAGCAAGTAAAGAAGAATTGGTCAGGTCAGTCTTGGCATCTGAGCGACGTTATTTACAAAACAAGTTAGTGATAAAGGTCGTTTAACTCTAAAATTACCGCTGGTGTCTCGTCAGCTTTTTAAACACACTTTTCTAAACTACTTAAACATTATAAATTGCCTGTGGTTCCATAACTTTGGTTGGTCACATGGTTCCTTATAACATGCGTAACATAATATATAGATAATCTAAACAAAAATACCATCAAATGGTAATTGATCTCGCTAATAAGTACTGCAGTATTTTATGTAGAAAATTAACGATTTCACTTTTTTTTTTTTAATCTGTTCTTTGTACTGAATATTGTAACAAACAAATAAAAAGGATTGGTTATGATGCAAAACATGGACCATACCCCACCACACACCAAAACTATGTAGTAAAGAAAAAATATGTACTTTGTAAATTGAAGTTGAAATTTTCATCTTGGATATCATTAATTCAAATTAGATAACTTTGCGTTTTTAAGTCTGAATACAGTGCTTTCACATATAATAACACGCGCTCTAATAATAATGAAGTATTTTAACTGTAATAAGGAAAATTGTCGACAGGTGACACTAGTTGGCATTTGCGATGGAGCTAGCATAGTAACACGACATTTCCCTTAGGCTGCGTTGTGATTTTCCTCTAATGCTTAACGTTATAATTAAATTGTTAAAGTTTGTTTGTTTATTTTTAACTTATTATATATAAACATGTTAGTTCTTTTGAAATATAGGACTTTCTACTACATTTGTTATGGGCGAACCACCTGAATTTATGTCTGCCCATCACAAAGGAATCTATACAGACTGGTGGTCTTATTAAGGTCATTGCTGCGAGGGCAGATAGTGTTACCATAGGCGGATAGTGTTACTAAGGTACATTGCTGACGCCTCCTTTCAGTAATTGCGTAACCCTACCACGGATCACCAGAAGGGGAGGTTGTGGAGGACTGATTGAGATCCGCTGTATTAGATAATATCCATTGCGCATTCTAATAATTTTGAATTCGTATCATAAACGTTATGCAAGTGGTGGGAAAACACATTTTTTAATATAAAAATTGTAATTTATTACATACGCTGAAAAGAGTTTCTTGAAATTGGATAGAAAATATTACTGAAGACAATTGTAACACACTTGTCACATGTTTGTGTAATGAACATTTCTCGTCCGAGCGGGAAGTGTTTCGGACATTGTATTTAATAGCAAAGCTACACAGTGGATCATCTGTGCTCTACCCACTGTGAGTATCGAAACCCGGTTTGTAGTGTTACAATACTTTAGACTTACCGATGAGACATCGGGGAGAGCGCTTCGAACATTGTTGTTAATAGTAAAGCTAGACAGTGGGTCATCTGTGCTCTACCCGCTGCTGGTATCGAAACCCGAATTTTAGCGTTACAATACTTCAGACTTACCACTGAGCCATCAAAGGGGGGGGGATATGAACATGATACGATGTAACTAACGTTCAAGGTGATAATATATTTTAAATAAGAATATTAAGTATATGAGGGTAATGATTCGTTAAGTCGACTGATTTTTTTATTTTTTCCTCAGGTTAACTGTGGTTGATTAAACTCCTTCTTCGCTCGCCCGGTTTTAGTAATATATTTGCAATTCTGCAACATGAAT